TGACCATCCCCAACTCAGTGACCGAGATTGGGGCAAGGGCCTTTTTGAATTGCAGCTCGTTGTCAAGTGTGACCATCCCGGACTCAGTGACCATGATTCGGATTCGGGTCTTTGCATCTTGCAGCTCGTTGGCAAGCGTGACCATCCCCAACTCAGTGACCGAGATTGGGTCTAGCGCGTTTGCGTTTTGCAGCTCGTTGTCAAGTGTGACCATCCCGGACTCAGTGACCGAGATTGGAGCTGAAGCCTTTGCATCTTGCAGCTCCTTGGCAAGTGTGACCATCCCGGACTCAGTGACCCATATCGGGGATGGAGCTTTTGCAGGATGCAGCTCGTTGTCAAGTGTGACCATCCCGGACTCAGTGACCCATATCGGGGATGGAGCCTTTGCAGGATGCAGCTCGTTGGCAACAGTGACCATCCCGGACTCAGTGACCCAGATTGGGTTTCAAGCCTTTGCAGGATGCATTGCTTTGACTTTGGTAGTGCCCATCACTCGGATCCAGTTTGGGGTTGACGTCTTCCTCGGCTGCAAACGGATTCTAGCCAAAGAATGTCAATGTCAAGAGTGCGAGTACAGGTGGTTTCTGAACGGCTGGGTGTGTCCGAAACAACGGTGGCGATCTGTGACCCGCCATGGCCGTCATGGCCACCTTCGCTGAGGGAGACTAAGAGCCTTTTTTGGAATCCGGCCTATGCCTATGGCGCGGTTTTACCCAACATGTTGGTCAAATGAAGTCCACCTACTCCATCAATCTGCTTGTAAAAAGGTGGCCGGCTTGGTGGCTGACTTGGTAGGGCCTGTAAAGAGCACACGTCCGAGTTTTACTTAGGCTCTTACGGAAGGGAAAGGTCTGATTGAAAGAAGTCTAGCCCACAATCATCGACCGAAGGCTGGTCAGTGGGTTTGTCGCCGTTTCACGAAACCCACGTCAAACCATGTCTCGGTTTGGACTACGTCTCAAACCGTTCAATCCAGCACCAGGGCCCATCTTATGAATCCATGTTTTTGCTGGTGTACTCTTGGAATCTTTTGGATGAATCTTGTGCCACCTTGCAATCATCGGAACCCTGTTACCGGGCTCTTCCGAAAGTTATACGGCCATCCAAAGATATTCGTGGAAGATGGGCCTTCAGAAAAGAACGCAGCCCAGCCGACACTGAAATTGTGGGTGACCCTTCGTCGTATCCATCACGAACCCTGCTTAGTTCTGAAAGCCACGTGGGTTTTGGGGGCCGGTTCCGACGCTTCGCTTGGCACGGTGTGGTACGGTACCATGGCGCAGCTGCGGAAAGACGGATGCAACTTTTGCTGATGCATGTGGATGTTCTGACCTTGGACCACTTCAACAAAAACACGCGATGGATGGATAGGGGACCCCTGCGGACCCCTCCTCCTCTTAACTCACGTCGCAAGTATGTCATGCTATGTCCGCATGTATTGTAATTGGCTTTTGGATGTTTTTGGCATGTACCGTATCGGTATTGGTCCACAGTTCTCCCAAGGTTCCAGAGCTGCAGATGCCTCTGGGCTATCGCACTTTGACTCCCCACGAGGCACCCAAAACGCCACAAGCTGAACGCAGCGTTTCTGTCCGGTTCCGGGAGCATCTTCGACGTGTGTTTCGGATGTTCCTCGTCCATGTTTGGTAATTACTAAGATCGTTGCTGCAAAAGATAGTGTTCAAAGCCATGCAGTTCTGTTCCGCCAGATGTAAGAGAGTGTTGGTTTCCTGATTGTCTTCGACCTGTTTGGATAGTTTGGGGATGGAGAAAGGAAATAGAAAGCCGCCTTCACTTTCAACGTGCATTGGGAAAGATTCTCAAAGTTAGTCATGAATGATCCCACGGGGAAGCGTGCTTGGAATTCCTGCATGTCGTTAATCAGTACGAGATGAACAATTATTGTGTAACCCAAACTAGCCAACTGAGTTCTTTTTTGAGCATATTGTATCCAAAATGAAGGCTCAAACACCAAAAACCCAATCCAGAACCCAAAATGACAGATCCAACAAATGGGTTTCACCCATACTCGGTTGCAGGGCCGCACGGGGCGCGTGAGGCTACAGAGGTCTTGCAGCGCTACGAGGCGTTGCTGGAACGGCCGGAGCTGCAGATCACCCACCGCTACCAGGTGACTGGGAAGGATTAGGTGTCATGGAGCTCCAATAGACGATTCTGTGTCAAGTTCATGGGTCTTGGGAATCATTGATACTTTATCATATGTTGTATTAGTTTGAGTGGGAAGGAACCAAGAAAACAAAGGCCATGCCAGGAATACGTTTGAGAGACAGGGTGTCTTTATTTTAAAGTGGATGGTGACGGGATACTGGTTGGAGTGAAGGTGATGCATGGTGATGGCTGTGGAATTGTTTGCTGAACACACCGAGCTCGGCCTGGAGCTCGAATAATTTGACGATTCTGTCTCAAGCTCATGGGTCTTAAGGGGAGTGATTCATATAGGCTATAGTTTGAAATACTGTAGATTTCTGGCTAAGATATGTGCAGGATTGATGTGGAAAAACAGGTGAGGCGATTTTGTTTGAGGTGGTTCTTTGTATACAGCTCCAAGATTTGTTCATTTCACAGTGTGACGGGGTCTCGCTGCCAGGATTCTCTCTGTCTCTTTCACGCCGAGACAGTTGCCTCACCACACCCTGCCGTGGATCCCCTGAGATGTCGACAACGGCAGGTCGGCGATCTGCTGTTGCTGGACAACCTCATGGTCGCCCATCGCGCCGTGCACCGCGAGAATTTCGATGGGCTGCGGCTCCTACATCGGACCACCCTGCGAGGCAGGTGGGGAGGGATCAAGCAGAAAGATGCAGAAATGGGCAAATCGAGGAGTCAAATACCTTGAAACGTTGGTTCTCAATTACTTTAGGTTAGACTATAAATTGTAGACGTCATCAGATTTTGAAGAGAATTCATTTGATATGCTGTGCTCTCTTTGGAGTACCATGAACAGGTGTGTCGTTTTCGAGTCCAGGTACCCGGAATCTGGATGCCGAAGGCTTGCCGCCCTTCTTGTACATTTTTGGCCGCTCAAGCAAGCAGTTTGATGGAGACACCTCAGCTGTAATGGTGTGACCATACTGAGCAGAACCAGTTAGAACCAATGTTTTACAGCTGCTCTCCACGGCCGTGGTGGTCTTACAGATATAACAGCATGAAACCGCCGAGCTCAACATACAGGACCCGCGGACGAGCAACATCACATGGACCGAAGGAAACCTGAGCAGCTTACCCGGCTATACTCCTCAAGGTTCCGTTCTCCCAGACACAAGGCGTGGCCGGGGTGGTTGAGGCCGCAGGGGGTCCTCCAGTCCGGGCGTAGCTCTGCACCGAGAAGCCACGGGCATTCGAGATCCATCCGTGACGAATGAAGCAAAGGAACAAACATCGACAGATATCCCACATCGACATGATGCGTTGCAGCTTTACTCCCAGATTTCACAGGCTTCAAGTATCTTCAAGTCTTCCCAAAATATGACCTCTCATGGAATTTGAACTCCGCATAAGGTCATGACAGATGAGGCACATTGAGCTTCACTTGACCATGCAAACATCGCATCTCAGGTCCCAACCCCTTCGACTCGGGGCTCTGGCAATCTGCGGACTACTACGGCGTGGGCTTCCGCTGGAACATCTCGGAGAGCTTTCGATGCCCGGACTGGCGCTGACGAACCCCGCGGCGAAACACCACGGGTGTCGTTTGGTTTCGGGCGTTTTGGAAGTGCCCAAGGTCCAAGCTGAGGTCAGCCGGTTGATCCATGCCCAGTGGATTTTGGATAGATCCAATGTTTTGATCCAATCGCCGTATTCTAAGAGAGATAGCTACAACATGCTACAACATGCTACAACCACTGGAACCAAAGACTGGCAAACATATTGATTCATACACGTGAAGAATTGGGCAACATACGATATAGTCGGCGTGAGTCGTTTGTTGGGTGCTTAAGCCCATTCTTTTCTGGGTTTTGTGGGGATCTATATCCAATATGTACAGTAGTAGGTTCCACGTTCTTATTACCATAGAGTCCATAAGTTTTGTCATATTGTTTCATTGCTTTGCACTTATTCATTGGCAAACTTTCAAACATGCTTCCGCAAACTGTACCAAGAGTCCCACCAAACAGTGTGGAGCGCCTGTTGAAGTTTAATGATATAGCCCCGATCAAACAAGTTTATGCCGTGTTGGTTTCTAGAACAGAGCCTCAAATATTCTTCAAGATGTGTCTTGTGGTCTGGTGTTCCATCTCCGAGCCCTTTTTCTTAAGGAAACTGATTGAACCAGCGCAGCGCGGCGCTGCTCTGAATCTCGGCCCCATCTACCTGAGAGCCTGAGTTGAACTCATGGCCGCCCTGCTGCGCTCCCATGTTGCGAACGCCACTGCGCCTCGCGATTCGGCGCTGGCTGGAACGGCTGAGCTGGGCTGTCCGTGGGCCGCTGGGCACTGGAGTCAGAGGGAGCGGTGATTTCGGAGAGGGAGAAAACCGTCGAAGAGGGAGTGACTCAAGATGGTACGAAGTGACTGGGATTCACTTGATCACAGAGCTTCCAACTCTTTGTACCTGGAGGTGGTAGTAGGTAGTGATAGAAGTTTCATCATTGAAGAGTGACTTGATCAATATTCTGGTTTGCCCTAATTTTGCAGAAGGACATCCTGAAAGCGTGGTGGGCACCCAGACGCTGTAGATTTGCCAATTCATTGAGACATGATGGCATTCCTGTAATGGACTCCGATGGAATATGGGACGGTTGTAGACTCCCTGCCGCAACACCTGAACTCAACACCTTTAAGACTGTGGAGACCGTGGTTCCAAGGAATCAGTTCATTGGGATGTTCGGTGAGAAAGAATTCCTTTTGATAGAATGATGCTCTCGACTCTCGTCTTTCAAAAGCAATTTTGTTTTTTGGTTGTGAGGAAGAGCAACGTTATGGTGACACCAAATGACGATGATCGGATTTGATGTTAGATATTATATAGATCGACTATACTTATTGGAGTCCTTCAGAAGTTGCAGATTCAACCGATGATAGGCTGTTCTAGGAGGAGTGCACTAGATGAACAGTTGCAATCAACAGATCAATCTGATTGACAAAGGAAGTAATTAATCAGCTAGCAGAATCGCACAGTGATAAACGGGGTCTCAAGATGAATCTTAAAGTGATGAACCTGGTTCTGTTGGTGCCACGCGACACACCGTGGTGCCCAAGTGGGGTCAGCCAGTGAGGTGTGGAGGTGCCATCGTCATGTGGATCTCGGTTTCGGATCAAGCGGATCATGGTCTGCCTCTACTCTAGAGAAGTACAGTAGAGAAGAACCATAGTAGGACGCCTCTCTTCTCTACAAGAGAAGTAAAGAGAGATTAATCTCGTGGGCCATTGTGATCTCCGAAGTATTGAACATATCGTTCCTGCCATGGCAATGAGGATTTCCTTTCGGCAGCTGAATGGCAAAGCCATCGTTCTTGAAGTCTTGCCAGACATCACCGGTGGCGAACTCAAGGAGCGGATCAAGGATTGCCAGCTTTGGGATGATGAACTCACGCGTAAAACAACCCTGGTGGACATTGTTGTGGGGGCAAGTAGAGTGCTGACGAACGACGAGACAGCTGCAGATGCAGGCCTTTCTCCAGAATCAGAGGTAACCGTTATATTTAGACAAAACACTCTGACATGTTCCCACAAAGATGAATTTGCCCAGTGCGGCCAGCAGATTGACTTCGAGTTTCTATTTCAAGTTCGAATCCCAAGCAGTGCAACTGAAATCAAAATTAGAGCATTCAACAAATGCAGAACTTTGGCAAGTGTGATCATCCCCAACACAGTGACCCAGATCGGGATTGAAGCTTTTGAAGATTGCAGCTCGTTGGCAAGTGTGACCATCCCCAACTCAGTGACCGAGATTGGAGTTGGAGCCTTTCAAGAGTGCAGCTCCTTGGCAAGTGTGACCATCCCCAACACAGTGACCGAGATTGGGGAAAGGGCCTTTTTGAATTGCAGCTCGTTGTCAAGTGTGACGATTCCCGAGTCAGCGACTCAGATTAGGAATGATGCCTTTGCAGGATGCTGCTCGCTGGCAAGTGTGACAATTCCCATTTCAGTGACCGAGATTGAGGATGGAGCCTTTGCGTCCTGCAGCTCCTTGGCAAGTGTGACCATCCCGGACTC